CCACATGAGGTGTAAAAAGGTCAGTTATAAACCTATCAATGCTCATGAGGGACTTTCACCACCTTGCTGTAATAACACACCTCTATGCATTTATACACAGGTTCAGTACTGTGCTTTCGTTGGGCCTCACTAATATAGAAGATACCCAGTTTAATCTCACCTACAGAAACAAACAGGGCAGTGGCAGCTGTCAGTGTCAAACATTATCCCATCCTCGGGTGGTGACTTTATAGGAGCCAGAGGTGCATGTTGTAATGTTAGACCTGTAAACTTGTAGATCCTTTACTACGAGGGGTCAGTGGCCCACATGTGCACCAAGCCTTCAGCTAAGATATCATTGTGAAAGAGTTGAATGGTTTTGGAGCCTCCAGCTGCAAAGCTAGCCTATACCTCAAAGAGTGCTCCTGTAAAAACACCAAAATCATTTAGACTTTTTTTGGCAAAATGCTTCATTCGGTGTTTTACAACGACCACGGCTCTTCTGTCACAGTTGGCTTTATTCATTCCTTCACAGGTCTTAACTTTCTTCACTTAACTTTCCCTTAAAACCACTGCAGTCAAACTGCAAAGACATGCAAAGTTGTTACCAGCTGACCGAAACATAATAGTTCCTATGCATAAACAAAAAACGTTCAGCTTTCTGACCCATAACCAGAGGGGATAAGCTTCTAAATGTAATTTTTTTGACAAAAAAACAACTAACTCTTCATTTGAACACAAAACCACTCTCGATGTTGGCTTTTCTAAACCGCCTCCCCTAATTATGGAGACACGCAACAAATGTCCATGAGTGTTTCACCTTTATAGTCCCCACTGCAGCACAAAACATGAAAATCAAACAAAAAAAAGAAACCTTTCAACTTTACAACAAATGTCTTCTTAAATTAACATAAAACACTTCGCGGTTGAGATTTTACTGTAAAATGAAGAGTTTCCATTGGGGCATTTTTAGACAGTTTGCTGTGTCCTGCAAAAACACACACACTCATACACACTCTTCCTCTCAGCACTAACCTTGTCTCTGGTCAGTTGTGTTACTAAAGTCAGGGGAAACCCTGTTTCACTTTCTTGCACAAGTTCTGCATTTATCTTTTTGACGTTTCCCGTCAGTTTGTGTGAACAGACTGTTCCTAACTGAGGACTGACAGTAAGAACCTGACTTTTAACCTCGTCCCAGACCTCGGTTTTGTCCCATTTGCTACATACAGCGGGTAAAATAAGAGTTGAACACGTCACCATTTTTCCTCAGTAAATATATTACTAGAGGTG